GATTCCAGGAGTTCCAATCTTATGGGCTGTGGTGGTTTGAGCACCATCTCACCAATATTCGTCGAATTTGAATGGATGGAGGTGATTTTTTAGACCTCCTACTAGACCTCATATAACAACAACCGCAGTGCGTGAAAAACCGAAGTAAAGAGCTATTTCGACTCACTTATCACAGCTAAAGAAGCCACAGAATGATCCGAAAGGTCTTCATGGGATAGCAAAGGATTCAAATAACATTTGTACGCACTTTCCGCTTCTGAAACCATACAGTTATGAGCATGACCTTACAATCAGGGAGAAGGTGATGTGTTACATGTCGGGAAAACAATCTCTACATGTAGCTATTTTGTTTTTCGCTGAGATAAAACCAACATAATGTAGGATCGTACAAGCCTACACTACACTCCAGTGCAAATTTTGCGACGGATCACGGTCGCTGTCATGGGATATTTGCCAAGTCCTCATCTTCTGGAATGAAAGGAGAGAACTTCCCGATTGCCACTACCACCTCTTCAAGCACAATTTGTCGGACGCCCCTATGACCAGCTGCGCAAATGACTTGACAAATGACTCTCAGAATAATATTAGGTTGACACATACGTTTTTCCCCTGTGTTTGATCCTTCCATGTTTCGTTTACATGGATGTTGGTACTTCGTCATCCCGTGTGCGTGACCTGTGCATAATACTCTTTTATCACACTAGCTACCACTCACCCGACCCGCATATGCAGACGATAATGTCGTACAATTACCAGTGTGACAGAATGTACCTGCGCCACAGCCTGGTTCTGCTTCACAATTTCTGCTGGAATGCAAAGGAAGCTCGTAACAGGCCAGTGGAAACATACGACGAGGACATCATCTCTTACCACACATGCTAGTGTTGGTCCGCCAAATTCACGAAAGAAGACTTTTCTCTCGAAGATGCTCCGAGGTTGGGTCGGCCGATGGAGTTGGATTTGAAAGTAATACGTTCCATCGTGGAGGAGAACCATTCCTCACCACCAGGGGATTGGCGTGCTCGGCTACAAAATCGACGATTGTACGTGGACTGGAACAGCCGGAAAGGTAGCAATGCTTGGTCGATGGGTCCCACGTGAACTGTCCGCTTGTGACCTCTCGAGGAGGGTGGCCACCTGCATTTCTCACCTTACTTTCCAGAAGAGGCTTAATTCTCTCAACTCGGTGATCACTGGAAATGAGGGATGGGTCCTCTACTACAACACTGTGAGGAAGCGGCAGTGGGTCGACAAAGGAGAACAGGTAGAAGCCATCTCAAGAGTCGACTCCCACCCCAAGCAGGTTCTTCTGCTTTTTGGTAGTCCGAAAGAGGCATGGGAGCTGGTGAAGAAGGGACCGACGATTAATGCTTCCACATACGTAGTTCGGCTGCAGAAATTAAAAGATCATGCCGACCGTACTCGTGGATCGAATGCGGAAGTCTACTTTTACGATGACGACGCCCGACCTCACACCGCAAGGGCGACCCACGACGAGCTGACTAGGTACCGATAGCTGATTTGCTCCCAGTCCCCACCCCCTACAGCCCTCATCTCGCTCCTTCCAACTACTGGCTGATGAGCTATCTCCAGACGGAAAAAAGTCTGAAACAGAAGATGATGGCAGAAAAGGACCCGATGACTTCTTCAAGTCCCAGCTCCCGACCTTTGGGGAGGGAGGAATTGGCAAGCTACCTGAGCGTTGGCGTCGATTAGTGGAAGGTGATGATGTATACCTCTAATCTTCAGGTTGAATCGCTATTGAGATATTTACAAACGAGTCGGGAAAAAAACTTATGCATCAACTCAACAATCTCGCCATACAAGATCTTCATTTACTCATGAAATACACGCCAGGTGCGCTAAGCAGTAATTTGTAGCTGTGTTCAAGTATCTCATTTTAAGTGCAAAAAAAGCATGTAACACAAAACAGCACGTGAATGCGTAAATTCTTTTGCCGTGTCATCAAAAAGTTTGAAGAACATTATTTGTTTAAGTGTATTGTGGCGTAATTTGGCCTCCCACAAGATCTTTTTTATACTTTTGACAAGACTATTGAATGTTACCACATTGTGACTTGTAACCAAAAACTATCGTTATCAAGCTCTCCAGAATTCAAGATCACAGCTCATACCTGAAGTAATTAGTCCCGACAATGTCCTATAACTAGCGGAATTTTGTTAGCTCAGAATTGCTAGAGCTCACTAGGAAAGTTTTTGACGGCTAAACGCGCAGTGGCTGTAGAAACTAAAGCGAATTGTCGATCAGAGCGAAGCGATTGTCCAAAAGGTCTAAATCTAGCATGATAAAGCACCACCGCTCGTTATAAGGAAGGTGAAGCTTGAGTCCACACAGTTTGATTTGGCAGCACTCCTTCAGCTCCCGTCTGGACCAAGCATCGGGGCCCTCCGGAGCTTCCTAATAGCGACCATTAACTGGACAAAAAATTTCCCGTCCCGAGCTGCATTTTGTTAAGACGACATTCACAAGCTGCACGAGCGTTGGCAAGCAGTAGTCGACAACGATGGTAGATATACTTGGTCTCGTGGGTTGCTGTACATCAATGGCTTTAACAAAATGAGCAGAACTTTCTCGCTATCCTGGTATGCATCTGCTTTCTATGTGCCTGTCTTTCGGAAAAATTCTGTGTCATCTGAGGAACACCTGGAAAGGGAAGAAGGGAAGCTCCGCTCAAAAATTCGTGACTCGAAATGTATTATGCATAGTCCAACTGGTAAATTGATCCCACCACATGTATTTTTCGGTTTTAGATGGGTTGTTGGTTGGTCTGCGTGTGCGAGTGTGTGTCTGTGTGTGTTTGACTGGGAATTTATAACTCCTGCCACCGTGGAGTTACATCGTCCGATTTGGTAGGAGTACGGGCGGCAGGATGGGAACACATAGAGTAGGTGGCAGGAGATACTCCGTCCGCAGGGGCTGAGCGCGAGTGAAAATGTTGATTCGGACCGAGGGCGTTCAAATTTAATAAGAGTACGAGCGGCACTGTGGGAGCACCGAAGGTTCGCGGTGCGACTAAGCTCCGCCCTCTGGGTAGGAACGTTTGCGAAAATTGTCAATTCGTCGTTCAAATTTTTTTTTTCATTTTTCGACAATTTTCAGGAGGCGTCCAAATTTGGTAGGGGCACAGGCGATAGGATTAGCACAATGATAGCACGTGGAGGAGAGTGACTGAGCCGGATCCCGCCCGTGGGGAGTATAGGGGAGTGGAGAGAGAGAGCTAGGTGAAATGAGCGTAATTTGAGTGAATTTGTGGACTTTGAAGTCTCGTTTCTCTTTCGAAATACGAATTCGAAAGCGCTGTCTACGACGACTCTTCAGTTATCCAGTTAGAGTGAAACAATGGATCTGGCGGTGCAAAATAGTACAAAATCGGTGAGAGGAACAAAAATCCACGGAATTCGAGAAGAAAACTTTCTGGAGATTCATAAAATAGTGATTGTACAGAAGCGGCATGGAAGGGATATTTGGAAGATGGGCCAGTTGTGTATAGTTGCTTAGATGTCGGCGGTCATTCGCAGACGATTCTGATGATTGCCTTCAACTCTCTCCTGGGTTGAGACTGCATGCTTCGAGAAGTTAGGGGCATCTGTTACCATTCTGTTTTTGCTTTGCTCTTAGTACTCTTTTTTACCATCACACCTCATTGTTTGAGTTTTCAACAAAACTGTTCCATTACTAATTATTATATGTACCTTATACTCACTTTTTGAAACAGTCACCATCGTATGTGGCGTATGTGAGATACAATCTCAGGCCCTTATTACGCCCCATCTAGCTTTTTTGAACCGACAGCGGCTTATGTGATACCATTGGAGGTCATATACTCCCAGTGGGATATCTCAGGAAGCACTTCCACCGAGAACTATGCCAGCACTGCAATTGCCTCTGAGGTCAATTTCCGAGCTTCTTGAATCGGAGTCTGCGGACTACTTGGCGAAGGGAGTAGCTACGTAGAAATGACAGAGAGCAATGGCATTATAGTGAACCATTCAAACTGCTTAGTAATTAATGAATAGTAAAGGTTCCAAAAAATTGCTTAAACTTCATGTACTGCGCTAGTGGTGACCATTGTTTCAAAGCTCTGTCATTTCACTCACTCGATTAGAACTCCATCCACCCCTTTTTATGTAATCACGTTATGAATGGTCCAGTTTTTTACTTTCATAGAGAATTTCAGAGTCGCTCTCGGCAAAGTTCGGTGTTGGAGAGATAAAAACTGCCTCATAGAGCCCCAAAGCACATCTTTCATTGCCTTCTGGTCGTCAGTGTTTCGCGATCTGTTTTCATGGTAGGTAGGCATTGACGAGTATATCTACACAAGTGCGTTTTTGCTGTTGCATGTTCCGTTTAATGAATCATCTCCGGTAATGGGAAACGTGCTGCTGCCAGTGCCTTCTCTTCTCGGCCAGTACGTTGACACCTAAGTGATCAATGATAATCTGTTCTTTGTTAAGTGATTCGAGTGCAGACGTTGAAATTATAGGCAGCCTACATAGGCCTTAAAACTGTGGCGGCTCCACCTGCTGGTTGTGACCTGCTCTGCAGTGTCCTGCATTTTCGAGAAAATTGAGCCTAATTACATTCTTTCTTTGTTAACTGGTTGGCATAACCCGTTATGTTGGTGGAATTTGCGCAAGAAGTTCAAGATCTGGTGGTAGGATTGCAGAATTTGTTGACGACATAAACTTCACCAACATAAATCGACGTTCTCACGATGGATGCGGGGAGAGTCCATCACGATTCACAGGAAATGCTTTAGGGGAAACAGAGTTTATGTGTTTATGTGGAAAGCACCCCACGTGTCAGGGCCTGGCAAGCTACACAGGGATATCATATGCCAAAAACAGTAGCGAAATGAGGCTCATTCCCCTGAAGCTGAGGGGCCCCCCGATACGGCAGCCTTAGGGGACGATACCGCTCCCCAGAAGCTGCTGAAGTCTCAGGGTCACGACAGGCTGCCTGAAAGGAGAAAGACTAAGATGGCAGCTCGTACTTTCAATGCACTCACGCTTGCATCGAAAGCGTGCATTGAAGATCTGATGATGCAAGCTAGAAAGATCAAGGACGACGTCATCGAACGGAACGAGATGAGAAGGCACCGCCCGTTGCATGCCACTTTCGAAACTGGAGAAGAACTATTCCTTGGAGCATGCAACTGCAGAGGCGTCGGCAGTGTAGGTGTCCTCAACAACACGCACTCGGTCATGAACATCGATTCGTAGGAAAGCTTGACAACCAGGATCGGACGTTTGCGATTGAGAAGATGCGGCTCAATCCCAGCTCTCACCATCTTCGTTGCTTACGCACCACCATCAAGCTGCGAAAAAGATGAGTTGGAGGCGTTTTATATGGATATAGAGAGGCTCTACAGAGAAGAACACACTTTCTTCAAGGTCGTAGTCGGTGATTTTAACGCCGATTGGCCCTAGAAGAACGGCTGAAAAGCTCCACATGGGAACACACGGATCAATCCGAAGTTTTGCCTGACTGACGTCGCTGTTGTTCCGGATTTCCACACCGGATCGAACCATCGTCCCTTCGAGCTATATTCCGCTTTTCAGTGCCTGGAGAGAGAGAGCTACGAGGTTCAGGAAACAAAGCCCCAAGACTGTTGCCAATTGAGATTACTTCACTTCATTGGCGAGTTCGCGGGAGGATTCCGTCGGCGACAACATCGATGAAGAAAACGACCGGCTCGTCGAACATCTTAACGATAGCGCCATGGAAGCTGAGAGTTTCGAAGATGTCAAAAAACTTATCTCCTCAGAGACTCTTGAGCTGATACGCCAGCGTGGAATCGCGCGAGCTGCAGACATTAGCCAGCTAATGTCCGAATTTGCGAAGCCATGCAGAGAAGCAATAAAGGAAGATCTGAAAGAGAGAAGAGCAGCAGTTTTGAATGAAGCCGCAGAGGCTGGGAAGAGCATTCGCAAAGCTCGTCGGAGCTTCGTCAATTATAAGACCAAGATGACTTCCCTTCGTCGTACTGACGAACAGTTACTGCATCTCGAAGGGCAGTGGAGAATGTTATCCACGACATCCGCTCGGATCTCTTTGATAGCCACATTTACCTGACTATCTACCATCTTAGACAAGATGGATACGTCGTCTCTTCAGTTCTTCAATCCGGAATTCGACATGCCACCACGCCGATGAGGAGTGGTACGGCACCCGGTTCCGACAGGATCAAAACAGATCATCTAAAGAGCCTTCCGCCAGTCATTGTCAAAACCCTGGCTCGGCTCTTCACGAGGTACCTGTCGGAATCAAAGTGCCCTTTTCAAGGGAAACTAACAAGACCGTGTTGCTGTATAAGACGGGAGTTCCAGAAGACATTGGCAATTATCCCCCAAATTGCCTGCTATCTGTAGTCTATAGATACCTCACACGAGACATCCTTAACAGGATTGGCAGAATATTAGATGAAGGACAGCCATGCGAGCAAGCAGGGTTTCGGACACGATTTAATACAATCGATCACATCCACACCGTTACAAGTCTCATTGAAGTGTCGCGGGAGTACAAATGCCGTATGTCTTACGTTCATAGATTTGAGGAAAGCTTTGATACCGTCGAGACAGAAGCGGTAATTGAACTCGTGGGCAACCAGGGCGTTCCTACTCGATATACAGGGAGCGCTATAAGTATGGTAACACTTTTCGGGCGTCCGTAAATCCCTTTTTTGGAGGGTTTTCCCAGAGCTGCACCTCCCTTTATGTTGATGATATACCTCAGCAAACATATCTACTTTGGTACTCTCAATTCGTCAGATTTCGAGAAAAGGTGGAGCCTCCCAGACATCCACCAACCGTTCCATCTTTGCGTGCATTTGGTGAATCCCTTTCCTAGTTCGTTCCTCGCTTCGGCATTTCCCATATGTCAGTTTCTCGAATTGCTTTGCATAGACTGGTTAACGAAAACCTTAATACGGTCGTGTTGTCTCACATCGGCCCCTTTTCCGAATCCATTTGCTTGAGAAGGAGTACGCTACGGAATCTGCAGAAACACAAGACAAATAATTGCTGAATTGTTTGTATGTTCTAATCCGATGGGGAGAGTCTGCCCAAAGTAGTTACAATTGTATCCAAATAAGATTCGGAAGCCTTATAAGCCTTTCGACGAGAAGAATTTGGAGAGAAAAAGCGAATGTCGTGCGCTACTTAAGCGCAGCACGCGCTTCGACACACTTTTATCTGACTAGAGGGTGTTCGGCGTGGAAGAAATGTTGAGATCGCGAAGTACACGTATACTCCACACTACGAGTGCTGAAGCTGTTGAGAAGAGTCAGGTCGCCTCTCGAAGCCATTTCCCCTTTTTCGTGATAGTTTGGGCTAGAATCTCTACCATCAGAGCGATATCACAAAATTTGGTCGAAAAAAGTACAAAATTCAATCCAAAACTCTTTAGGAAGGGTCCTTCTGAAACAGCGGGGGGGTCAAAGATTTTTTCCAGAGATCCATTTGAAAACAGCGGCGCAATTGCTCACGAATGGGAAGAGATCGAGACTGGTGCTGAAGAAATGTTCGCGACCATATCCCACCTTCCAATCCTTATACGAATTTCCCGGACCACAATGTGATCGATCGATATAGTCTATACTGGGGAGGAAGGCCCGCGCTTCAAAATGCACCGCTGTTGATGCTCCTAAGGAATCATTGGAAAAAGTCTAGGCCAGAGTTTCTCGAGAAACTGTGGTCACCGTCGATGAGTAGCCGCAGCGTCTTCGAGCTATAACTAGTACAGGAGACGTTTATATAAGATGACCGTGTACTCCTTTCGTAGATACGATGCATAGTAAATAGTTTACATAAATTCACTATTTATCAATATGAACTGCTGTTTCTGTAGCCTAATTATTGTGTTACCATATTTATGGCGCCCCTGTATAAAGACGCTTTTTGAATTCAACAACAACTTCATGAGCAGCATCTCGCCATTTTATAAGGAGGTCACCATCAACGTGAAGAGAGGGATTTGATGGGGCGATACAATCTCGCCTAAAGTATTCAGTGCCGCTCTCGAGAATGCCATGCGTCATATGGAATGGGGAAGCATGGGAGTGAAGGTCGACGGCCGCTACTTATATCATCTCCGCTTTGCAGATGACATCGCGCTTATAGCACCCTAAATGCTGACCGAATTCGACAACGCTTGTGGAAAGATTGGATCACGATTGAACCTAGCGAAGACGATGTTCATGCAAAACGGATTGGTACCTGATGCTTCTTTCACGCTGAACGGTAGGAATATACTTTAACGCTCCAGCTATGTGTATCTAGGTCGCGAAAACAACATGACGAAAGATCTAGCTCCGGAGCTGAGCAGACGAAAACGCGCGGCGCGGAAAAATTCAAGAACATAGAGGGTGTAGTGAAGAAAACGAACAACAGCCGGCTTTGCGCTCACCTCTTCGATACCACGATCCTTCCTGCTTTGGAATACGCTTCAGAGACTTGAACTCTACGAAAGCAGGATGAGCACGCAGTTAGCGTCATTCAACGCGCTGTGGAAAGGACGATTCTCGGAATTTCCCTAAACACGCAAGTGCGGAAGGGAATCCGGAGTTCCAAGCTACGTCAACGAACGAAGATCAGGGATGCCGTTGAATACGTCAAGAAGTCGAAAATCAGATGAGTCCAACACGTCATGCGATGTAGCGACGACCGCTAGACCAGGGCGGTTACGGACTGGATCCTCGGGACGTCAAACGAACGTCAGAACTGCCGTCGGCTCAATGGAAAGACTTCTTCACGAAAGCTCTGACCGAAAGGAATAATGAACCTCGTGTCCCTGAAGCGAGGACGATTCACTGGACCACTTTGGCTCGTGACAGGGACGAATGGAGACGTTACTGGCGCTCGCTCGAGGAAATCGACGGTCAACGGGATGACAGGTGATACAGGTGATACAAGTGTGAAGCTAAAAAATAGGTGTAGCCTGAATAGCAGCCATACAAAGGAACTTTGGTCGGAAGACTATCATAGGATGGAAACAAAGAAAAGCTGCCTTCTAAGAGAAGCATAAAGTTAGAGGAACGTATGTTCGCGATCCAGCCTCCCTAATTAAAAAAACTACAGAGGAGACAGCAGAACACGTCAGTATATAGACTACTCCTCCTTGCCACAATTCTGCAAATTTTGTTGAAGAAAGATTAACTTATGGTTTAGGCAATAAGTGGTGCATTTCGGATTTTGTACGATTTAAATGTGGTCAGAGCTTGCTAATGTGAACCAGAGAGCATTTTATCTTGATAAGCTCTCAAGCTTTAATCAACGAATTCGGTTAAAACTTTGGCGGTGCTTGTAAATATTGGGTTGTAACATAAGTTCGTAGAGTTTTTTCGCAGAGATTTATTTTAGCAAAAAACAAGAATTATAATAATAAATTAATCAATGATGTGTCCTCCTGTTACTGTTTGCGACCTCCTCCAATCTCTCGACCAATTTGTTGATGCAGTTTCGCCAAAAATCGGCCGGTCTGGTGTCGAAGAAGTTGTTGGGCCAGTTTTTAAGAACCTCTCGCCATCGAAGGTAACACTCCTCATTTGGTTTGACAGAGAGCGGAAAGGTGGTAGTTGGTAGGTGCATGATCCGGAGAGTAAGGTGGATGCTGAAGAACCTCTCATTCAAGCTTTTGAAGTGCTGTTTTGACGACTTGGGCATTATGGTGCCTGGCGTAGTCGTGGAGCAAGATGACTTCACCTTGTCTATCGGGTCTTTTCGGCCGTATAGCCTCACTAACACGGTTTAGCTGGGCAATGTAGATCTCCTTGTTGACAGTAGCATTTCGTTCGAGCATTTCCCAGTGCACCGTGCCTTTCCAGTCTCGCCAAACGCAAATCATGACCTATTTTGAGTGAAGGTCTTGCTTGACTCTCGGCTTCGGTGTCTCTCCTGGGGCCGCCCAGAGACACACCTAAGACACCTTCCTCGTACACACTGCATATGTCCCGAGCGGCTTCGGCTGCTTATTGACCTCGATGAAAAGCAGATGTCAAAAATGCTGATTTTCTCCTCCTGGATATTCCAATTCTGAGCCCGAAAAAAGACGAACAATTTAATTATCCTAAAAACGAATAAAACAGTTTTGTAGAGGAGAAAGAGCTCTTTCGAAAGAATATATACACTTCGCCAAAAAACAAAGCGAATCGTTGTAAAATGACCCTAACACAAAACTCTACGAACTTATGTTACAACCCAATAAGTGGTTGTTGGTAAGCGAAACTGTAAGCTACATTACAATCATAACGATAAGCCCGCAACTGGTGGAACAACCCATCGTTCCGAGTGTGCTGACGGGAGTATGCTCTAAAGAGGTCCTCCGTTTGATGAACGCAGTCTCATATGCATTCGATCTAAAGCTGTAGTACACTGAATTCCCGCTTGTTCAAACAATCACAGGCAAAACACGAATTCGTTTTTTCTTCTGAAGCAGGTAAGTTTTTATTTTTTGAAAGAGAATAAATAAATAGGGTTGAGCCAGCTAGTAGAATTCTACAGAGTGATGGGCTGAAAATCTGATGAAGTTCAATTTCGAAGTCTCCGCTCCATCGAATTTCCTGACGTCATTAGCAACGACGCTCTCTATAATCGTAACAATAAAGCATTCTTTCTATCGAAAGATTTAAAGCATACTGTGAGTCATGAACTAGTCTACATATTCCAAAATAAACAAAAAAGGCAGTCGCATTCTCCAGCTTGTACTGATCATTCCCATACCAATTTTTTTCAGAGCGGATGTTTTTGGTAGGCTTCAAATGACGGTGACTTTCTGAATTGGGGAATAGCAAATATCAGTTGATTTCTAGTCTCACTTAATGATATGCTTATTTCGCAAAGTTTTATGGTGTCATTCATAAATTTGTGAATGCTATGCTTGAAACGAAGAAGTGGCGCAATTCGATGGCCTAAAACCCGATATGGCACATGTTACTAAGAAATGCATAGGTTCTCTTGCTTTCTCAAGAAAGATTTCTGGTGCTCAGAAGAATTTCATGCAGGTCATCGAAAATCTTTATGATAAATTCTTTGTGATAAATCATTGATTGTAAGGACTTGTTTCATGTGCTTCTGGGTAGTATCAAAAGCCCATGCAAAGTTCGAGATTCTAGATGAACTCAATTTCTTACAACTGATGAATGTTCACAAAGAGTTCAGTCTAATTACTTTTCAGTGAAGTGCGCAACTTTCTCTCTGATCATTAGACATCGTACTTGAAAAAGCAAAAAATGACTGCATTTTATAACATCATGCCGTATACCAGGTCTTGAACAAATAAATAGCCTTTTTCCCTGGATTCGGGCATACAGTTTGCAAACTATAAGGGAATGCTATTTTTGGAGTATAAGTACACCACTCAATTAGAAATGGATTGGCTCGTACTTGCTATTTTGCAACTTCTAAAGAGGTCATTTGTAATTGGTCAAAAACCCCCGTTTTGAAAAAAGTGGTTAGTACAACCTGAGGAATGCGACGGTCTACATGTCTATCAGCTTTGAAATATGTCAGATACTTCACAACTAAATGAATACTCTCAGAAGTAGCAAACGCTTTTTTATTATAGTTGTAGCGAGCGTCGATACTAATGACGTGCCCTCAGGATTTTTGATAGACCAAAGACTTCAAAATTCAACTTCTTCAAAATTTTAGGTTATTACTTCGTAAGGCATAGAAACTATATAAAATTCTCTGTAGAGGAAAGTAAAAACTAGCTCACTCATAAGGGTTGACCGAAAAAAGCAAACTTGCGTTTTTTATGTGATTTTTGAACAAGTGGATATTGTAGGTGTTTACCCAATCATTGAAAGTTGCCAGAAGTTCCTTTTGTGTAATTGAGTTTTTCAGTACCGGAAGCATTCTATGTAAAAAAAAGTCTCGCTCACAGCTGTTGACTCAAAAACATTTGTTCATGTTCCATACTTGCAAACTCACGATGTTGCATTTTGAATTTTCAGAGCATGAAGAAAGTATAACCGCTACCAAAAACTGCTAAGAGTGTGTACATTACTTCGAACGAAAGTTTTTTCTGAAGCATGGTTTGCTATTCAACCAGCGCGCACGAGGGAAAAAGGAAAAGAGCGAAAACCTATCTGGACTAGTGAGTAGTAAAGGACTGGAAAAAGGTTAGTCGCGCGTGCAAAGGCTACGGGAATCCTAGCTATTCTCGTGCCGCTCTAAAAAACATGCATGTGTGAATGGTGCGGAATTTGATACACGAAAATAGGTTTTGCGTCGATTGACGATTAAAATGCAGAACCAGACGCCAGACTAGATTTTTGATAATTTTAGCCGCATGTACAATCTTGTAACACATCTGCAAGTAGAGATTCAAACTCCACGGTGCAACAGATGAGCACCACAGACTAGTCACACTTAAGGCATGTTGCTTCACCCGAACACAGTTTTACCGCATGCTGCATCGGTCATCGGAGACAAAACTTTCACTCCAAAAAATGTAATGTTTCGGACCTCAGTCGTCGATGCTGGAACACTTGTTTCGCGAGAAAACTACGGTCAAGTAGGTCATTACTCCTAGTGCCTGTCATTCTGCAACATGGAATGTGCACGAATATTGTTTTTTGCCTATTGATGTCCATCCATCTACATTGTGCGTCAGAATTACTGGTGCGCCTTGAAATTTTGGAATTTTTGCATTTTCGCGACTTCTTTCCTTTACTCGCCTAAAATATTACGCGGATAGAGGCCCGAAGTCTGTTCTTGAACTCGGTGCTTGTTGCACGCAGGCATCCATCCTCTATTTCTTCCCAGCACTTCTCGACTCTTGTTTTGGTTCCCTCCTAATCGAGGAAAACCCTTCCAAGCCAAGTGGGTCACAATTTGAAGAGCAGAATGTATTCCTATTTCTTATTCCTCTACGCTAATGAAGTCGTACAGCTGACGTCGGCACCACTCTTGGGCCAGCTTGGCTCTGTGGGCTGGGTACAGGGAGTGGAGTGATAAAAGTCTCAATAGCTCTATCAGTACGCTTTTCATGTTCACGTCTGTGTCAATTTTGACGCCGGTACCTAAGGAACTAGCGGCGTCTCACAACTGGCCGTAAACATTTTGCTGCTTTCAAAGCAACTTTCCGAGAGATGGCACTGTCGTTTTTCCATAAAGTAAGTGAGCGTTTCATCCTTGAGGAAAGGTTACGACGTAAAAATTCCTCACCACAGAGAAAAATAAAGGGATGCGCGTTTCCACTTATACCCGCCTGTTTGGATCGCATATGCAGTGACACTTCTGTATACGGTAGGAGGTGTCAATAAAGCTTCAGCTCGACGATATCCGCCATCGACAACTATAATAAGTCCCGCTCCTTTCAACCATCTTTTGATCACGCACGATCACCAACGACTTGCAAACGGGCTTTTTCAATAGTTCCCAACTTTGAGAACACTAGCGTTTCTACCCTTATTACTTTGCTTTATTGATTTTACTTTTCTGTATCGCTTATCAGCCTTCTGTACAGTCATTAGTAGAATTACGAGGAATTTCAAGATGTCCTTCTGCCCGTTGCATGCGACTCATTGCAAGCAGACTCGAATGAGCTCTCGCCATTCGAAGGATATCGAAAGTCTCACTTCAATATTTTTGCATTTTGCAAGTGAGCCTACTCGTGCAACTAGTCGATAGCGACTGAAGTGAAAATAATAGGTTGAATCGGCTCCATCCAAATTCGAATTTTGGCGCCCATACCTTGTACTCGTATTGTACAGGCTGCGACGATTTTTCGAAAGACTTCCGGTTGCCTTGGCACAGATGTCACGTGCAAAAGCGCTATCGTAATTCTGAAGGAGAAATGTTCTCAGACTCGACATTCCCTCTGTTTTATGCTTGGGAAAAATGTTTTTGAGTATTTCCTCTTCAATGATTCAGAGCGTCTTTGAATTCTAGAAGTTATCTACAGGCCGAGCGATAAAGATGAAAGTCGTACCATCCTGTGCTCACTTTCCAGCAGTTTATAGGAGCAGATTTTTGCACTTTTCCTGGCGAGAGCCAAAAAAATACGGTCAAGTAGGGAGTCTGCGAGGGAATAACATTATAGCACCTTTCACCTTTATGGACCTTAACGAGCAGGCCTGTCCCCCTCCTCCCCCTCCCCCACCTCCACCCTTCCGGAAGTGCTGGACTGTTATACTGACGTGGCTGAACTAGACATCACATAGATGTTCATCACACCCCGAGCCGTACAACTATCATTCGCTCCGATTGGTGACTCAAATGCTCTTGTATACGGCTCACTGCTAAGAAAAAAGTTGAGCAACCTTTTGAATAATTACGAGTAGTTAAGTAACTGTCTCACTTCAGTAGATTCCCAAAGCGATACAATTCAGATTCGACTAATAGGATTAAATAAGTTGAGAACTTCCTGAGCGGGTTCATAGAAGGCTCAATCCTTCACTGCAATGCCATTCAAAATTATCAACCTCACATTAATGTAACTGGCTTTGGTGCCATAAGTGTACGTGAAATTTTCGTTTTTTTATATTCGCTTTGAAGCACGATTACTGTGCAGCTAAAGCGATGATGATGCATACTTGAAAGGGAACATACAGCATATTCTTCAACAACGTACTAGTGATCTCATAATCATTGTACACGATGCCACTTTCATTGCTCTTATACGTTCGGCACACTTGAAAGTAGCCAACATTGTAATGAAATGTGCTCTCCTGAAAACAACTTTTGGAACATGAACCGACACGCTATCTAAAACAGCCACGCAAAAGATAATCAGCCAACCAGAAATAAACTGAGGGTCTATAGATTTCGAATATGTGGAAATCCAGCCACAATCTGATTCTATAAAGTACATTTTAAAATGAGAAATGAAAAGGGAAGGGAAAGCATTTTGTAAATCGTAAAGTCGCACCAAATGCGAGATATTGAGCGAGTTATATAAGATCTGACTTGCATAGAAGAGCGAATCTACACGCATGCTAAAGAACTAGCATGCATCAAATTGTAATATAGTTCATATGTAGTCCAGTGGAAACGATCGGAGAGGCCGAAGATTGCGTTGGCTCATCGTCTTTGACCTAATGCCTGTTGCATTTTGTTCTCACTTTCCACTTCTGCCCAAGGACCAACGCGAGTGTAAACCCGGCTTTTGAATTCATAACAGTGGCCTTTTTCCAAAAAAAAAGCCGGAGATTTGAAAAGTCCTCAGATTTTTGACATTATTTTTGAGTTTTGCCAACTTATCTCTGCCGTCGGAATTGCTGCCAGGTATGGCACTTGTATAAGCACCGAGTTCTTGAACACATTTTTTTCTTTCCTCAGAAGCAAGTCATTCATTTTTGATAGATACACTACAATGAGCAGATCACCTTCGTTTCATTCTTCTTACTGTCCCAATCTTTCCGTCCCTTTTTCTTTACCTTGTTTTTTTGTTTTCTTTTTCTCTACACAAAGTGCGAGCGACTGCTTTTGCAACTTCTACAGAAAGCCGTAGCTTGAAAGGAAGATGCGAACTCCAGAAGGCAGCCAAAACTTCTAGAGCTCGTGTCCTCCTTTCGAGAAGCCTGTGAACTTCATTGTTCCAAGTACGCTCCCTTGTCCCCATGACTCCACCTCGATTCTGACGATAGCATTTCCTTCGCATACTGAAGAATCAACTCTAGTCTGCTTGAGTAGTCTTTAAGGAAGTAGGAGATCCTAACTCGATGGCTATTGGTGCTGGGTCGCCTATGCGCTCGAAAGCTCACCACTTTTCCTTTTTGTTTCGGACCTGCCTCTCTTTACAGCTTCACCCTTTGTCAAGGGGACATTCGAATAATCCGCGTGACAAAGATGTGGCGTGTGATCCGCTTCCGCAACTGACTTGTTGTCTTCGTCAAGGCTTGGATCGAAACCATCGTTTTTGTGATCAGAGCAGATGACGAAGAGTAAAGGGCAATATTGCTTAGTACCCGTTTCGTGTCTAGCTGCGCTTCTCATAACTGATACTGTTGACACCTTCTCTATTTATCTGCCCTTGGGGTCAGGGTTTCAACCCGAACTAATTTTTTCACTTATGGTCGTTATATTCTCGTAGCTATAGTCTACTGAAGACAGAACTCGGGCGAGGTGATGTCGCAGCAAAGCACTAATTACGATCTTTATGCGACGTTCTGACATGATTGGTGTAAGGGGTTTTCCATTAGCCGCGTTTCCAACACGAGCTTAATGGTGGCATAATCATCATTTTTGCAATTTTCGCATGACATCTGGCCTCGGCAGACATTGAAGCTTGGAATTTCCTGAGTGCAAACAGAAACCTACACTTGTAGTCGCTTCACTAAAAAGCATTGAAGCAAGTGATTGTACATTAGTACCTACGAATCTCCTCCACTTAGGGTTCTATCTCCTTGAAGGATCTTTAGCCGGTTAGCCACGAGGACACATAGAGTGACCTCAGGTGACGAGCTGAAGTAATTCACCAAAAGTTGTTGTTTGCCCAGAGACGGAGATGGATTCAGGGGGTGGACCCTCTGCTTCTGCTGTGCTGGGTCGATACTATACATCTCGCAAGTGTATCGACGCATACCGCACACGCGCGTGAAGAGTCAGCGAGAGCAGGTGGTATCGTCCAGGGCGACTCAGCCAAAAGCTTGCATACGAGTGATTAGGAAGTATGTGGGGAGGGGGGAGGGCGATTCGGGACCGCCTCTAGATTCATTGCCTAGCTTCCATTATGGAATAGCCTGGCCAGCTACTCAAAATCAACCCAGCCCTTATATTGGAGCCTGTCAAGCTAGTCGTAGGTATCCTTATGCCGAAAACTATAATATAAATGGGCTACATTGCCCAAGATTTGGAGAGCCAGCAATACCACAGTATGGTGTAGGACCGCTCTGGCTGCTAAAATTTCAGTGCCAAAATAGATTGCCCAAGAAGAGAAGGACAAAGATGGCATTCTGCGCTCTCAACACACTTGCATCGGAAGCGTGTTTCGAAGACCTGATGATGCAAGCTAGGGAGATCAAGTACGATGTCATTGGACTGATCGAGACAAAAAGGCACCGGTTAGCTGCATGCCATTTCTGGGAGTGGAGAAGTACTTTTACTTGAAACATGCGAACGCCAAGGTCAACACGGTCACTTGGACATGATGAACACATGAACACCGATTCATTTGAATGTTCAGGAGTCCGAATCGAACGTTTACGATGAGCAGGTGTGGCTCAACCCCAGCTTCAACGATCTCCGTTGCCAGCTCAACATCATCAAGCTACGAAGAGGAAGACCTCGAAGCATTTTATATAGAGAGAGAAAACTACACTTTCTTCGAGGTCATGGTCGGTGATTTCAACGCCAAAATTGCCCTCAGAAGAGCGGCTGAAGAGCCACATATCGGGACTTACGGAGCCGAATTGAATGAGCAAGGTGGAAGGCTGTCCGGGTTAATCACGTCGACCCACACTATCCACCGTACCTTGCGGTTCCAAAACGAAAGTTTTGACTTGCCTGACAAACGTCGCTGTTGTTCCGAAGTTGTTCACGGAATCGTACCCCTGTTTTTCCCTTCCGTGCTAGCTGCTATTTAATTTCAGTGTGTGGAGAGAGAACTGCGAATGTAAGGACATGAAGCCCCAAGACTGTTGTCAACTGAGATCATTTCGCTTCATTCAGGAATTTGTGGCCTTTGGCGACAGCACCCATGAAAAGTATAACCGCCTCTACGAACATCTTTAAGGTAGTGCCACGAAGGTAGAGAGCATCGATTTAGAGACTCTCTCCTTGAAGATCTCGAGCTGATACGCCAATGTGCAATTGTGCGGGCTACAAGCTGTAAGTAGCAAGCGACCGAACTTGAGCAGCTTTATGGAGGAGCGATGAAGGCAGATATAAAAGAGAGACGAGCAGGCCACAAACGGCCGAAGCCGTTGAGATCGGGAAGAGCATCCGAAGGAATTGTCGAAGATTCGCTAATTAAAAAACCATGACGACTTCTATTCACCGTCCTGACAGAGCAGTTACTGCTCGGATCTCTTCGACAGACAAGTCTACCTGCCTATGCCATTTTGGGCAGGATCGATCCGATGATCTTTTCGTTCCGATTCCAGATTGTTATGCCCCATCCTGTTGATCAGGAATTGCACGGCACCCGGTCTTGATAGGATTGAAGCGGATCATGTTGAGATTTCTCCAATGCTGTTTTTCCCGGCTATGCTTTTTTTTCCTGTCGGACTCTAGTGTACGCATTGTCGAAAATAGCGGGACTGTTGCTGTTGCTATATAAGAAGGGAGATCTAGACGATATTGGCAACTATCGTGCATTCTGAGTCTGCAAAGATTGAGCTAATGTTTGCAAGAGGTCAGTATCGACTTGGAATTTCTGAGCACTGGAAATGTAAACGAAACGACACGAGGACATGAAGAGTCACCGTGGTGTAGTGGTAGTTTCGCCCATCTTTGACGGAGAGTGTCAGCTTCCTTCCTGCCACATCCAGAATTTTTGCATAGCGTGCTTTCCAGCTTTTCGCATGTGTATTCGTATAGCCTTATTCCGTCTATAATTCACTCTCAGTGCAAGCACTTTTTACATGCTGCCGCTTAACATGTATATGTATATAATAAGAGGAAGACAAAGATCTCGAGATTGAACACTGTACATGAGGGTAGAGGAATTACACATAAGAAGGCGTTCACACTTGCAGTAATGATTAGTCCTCATATATCACGTTTCTTTCTCCCACCAAGGTCGTGTCGGATGTTGTACATCGACCATCTGAAGAGTGCTGTGCTGCGAAAGGAAGGCGTACCATTACCTCCATATTTCGTGACGAGCCGCAGCTGTAGTTGAGGGTCGGTGGTCAAAAATTCAATATTTCTACAGAATCTTACTGGTACCACTGCGATGATGATGATGACGGCATCTCAAGCTCAACTGCTAGGAGAAACGGAGTCCACTTCGACGACACAGCAGTCGTGTTATATCTAATGTTCCATGTTCAATGAAACCACGACCCGCTCATTTTCATAATTAAGTCACGAAAGCACTCTTTTGTAGGAGTTCGTCAGATGGATATCGATGGCATCTATTAAATTACTTCTGCAGGGTTCAATCGGAAGCGACGACGGTAATCAATGCTAGAAATATGGCGATTCTTGAATAAATGCCAAAAGATGTCTGATGTGTGAAGAAAACCCTTGTTGGGAAGAGAGCACGTTGTGCAGTAGTTCTGGAGATGTCGGTGAGCGAACCTACACCTCCCACCTGTGTAGGCAGATTGCTACCATCACGAAATGACAAGGCTATCCGTGCATCTATTACGCATTTCAAGCTGGCACTATCCATACTTTGAGTAGGCATATTTGAACGCTCACAAATTTTGAAAACTCGAACAGTAATTCGAACTTCTAGATTAGTGAACAGTATTCCAAACTCCATCGGTTACATAAGCCCCCATTTGAAGCATCATGGGGGTTTGATTCATTTTTCTGGCCAGACATACAAAAGATGAGCTGGTCCGCCGATATTAGCTTTGAACATTGAATTTGAAAGTGTTCCCAACATGAAATTTTCTAACTTGATAGAGCACTGTAGACTAACTCCTCCTTTCTGTCGTGGTACGTAACGCGAGAGTCTTTACAAGGAAGACGAGCTACGGACAAATTGCGCAGCCTGCCTCAGAGAAAACGTAGGTCTGAACTTGTATTTTCAGACACCGTCACTCTTCATCGACGGGCTACAGAGACCCTGCTTGCTCTCCCCTTTCTGTAGCTCTTCACCCATAACTTATACGAATTCATACGTATAAGGCGATGGGATGGCCAATCAAGATTGGCATCGAACCATGAAACTGAAACTCTCTGAAACACAAGGAAGTCGAGTAGTTGTAATAACGATAGCTATAGTAATAACAATAGTAACAAACAAATAGTATCTAATAAAAATATAAAAACAAGAACAATAACGGCTTAAGATGAATATGAGAAAGAATTGATAAAATCAGAAGAAAGATGCTACAAAAACTTACAATTTGCTCTCCGTTTTCGTTCGTTTTATTGATCGGACGTGGTTCAGTTAAAAAAACCCAATTATTCATAAAAATAGGGAATGTTTGAAGTATGAGAACAACTGCTCCGAAAATTGCGGCACTGATAAATAGCACATCGTCTGTACATTTAGCTTCGATGATGTACTGAAAACAAGAAATGGAAATTGATTTATTACGACATGGAAGCCGAAACAAAAATAGCTAGATTTCCTTCCATATTCTACGCTCCACACTCTCCCTTACTCTCGTTTTTTTTCCTCGTGGTCCACTGAAGCAGGACCAACTCGAATTGAAAATCAAAGAACCGGAGTTTCGTGTAGACTAGAATAAGTGAAACATAACTCGATCAAACAATGCAGATTAAACACAGGTAAGCACCTGAGTTGCTTGAGTAATGTACAACGAGTCGTCTCGACGACAGTAACTAAGTACGAGAAACCCCTCTTAGAAATTCCGTGAAAAACTATATTTCCCTGGATATCCTGAACACCCCCCATAAAAATACTTTTCAAGATCACTGCTGACTTGTATGCGCACGGCATATCAGGAGGTTCCGTGATATTGCAATCAGTTGATCCATATTCATCCCTTGCCTTTTCGTTTAGTCCATGAAGCGTTGAAACAGTGTAGGATTAGAATCGTGAGTATGTGGTTTGAAAACTAGACCCTTGAGAAGAGTTTCAATGGATTTCGATAGCGGAGTAGCCGTACACGAGTTCGTAAAGAAGTAATCGATGAATCTGGGCAGGCAATTCGGTCATTATTTGGATAATGAAGCAAGGAAGTGGTAGCCGGTTATTCTGTGTGTATGAATGTGAATACGTAGAAGTTCAATGGAATCTCATACAAGTTTCCGGACGAGAATCAGAACTGTCGTTTCATGCAGATACTTCCGCACAACCTGATAGAGGAGGATTCCGATGGGAATGGCAATAAGGGATCAAATCAATCAGTATTTGAGCATCTATTTGTGCATAATTCATCCGATTTTCCGAGTTCTGTGTCAAAATGGACGGACTTTACAAGGGGAAGATGATTGGCCATTTAGAAAGAGATGTATTCCGCCGTTCGCAAATGCTAATCTGAAATCTGAGTTCCAAATCTGCGAAACGGTTCTAGGAACAGGGCCACGGAACCGTTTCCTTTTTAGGTCTCTATTTCTGACGGATAAGCGAACTAAACAACCACTCAAACAATTGGCACAGTTGTAAGGGTGATGGATATGTAGGCATGAAGTGGAAGTTTAGATAAATGGTGTATACGCTCGTTTCGATTTTCCATGAAAGTCTCCTGAACGATTACAAAACCTTCACGCTTCGTAGTGACTAACAACACCCCTTCCTCAGATGTGAGCAACCCCGGGAAATATATTCCAAGAGAGTTTTTCCTTGACTTCCATTGATCGAATACGGAGGCAGCTCAGCTTCATAAGAGGAGATTTGCAGAAGCTCCGCCCGAAAAAGGTTTCCGAATTCCCGGAAGTTTCCTGGAAATTCCGGGCGAAGAGATCTCATGTCATCCACCAAATCAAAGCGCTCTCCCACATATTACCAGCTATACGTTCTGCCCGACTTCGGGACTATCGATTCCTCCGTTCCAGATTCTGCTTTCAATGTATGAAGGGAGCTGCGAAGTTTAGACAGCGAAATCCTGAGACCGTGATCAGGCGGCAATGCCGATCGACTTGCTAGTTCCAGGAAATTCTCCGTTATCGACAACACGATAGTGATAAGAAAGCAAAGAGTCTACAAGTAGTCGAGAAAGGTAGCTCTCTGTGGAGACTCACGAACCGATCCGCCAGCGTGAAATTGCGCTAGCTACAGGTGATTATCAAAAAATGCCCGAACTTACAGATCCATGCAGAGAACCAATAGAGGAGGGCTGAAAAAGAAAAAGCAGCAGTCATGGACTATGCCGGGCGCGGAGGTGGTGTAGCATCCCCCCGACGGGATCGACTGCAGCCCCACGACTACATCCGAAACTTTATGCTCCGGTAGAGGAAGCCACCGAAAGCGAGGGAAGACCATAAGCAATTTCTGAAAATGACATAGTTGAAATACATTTTCAAAAAGCAACCCAACGATTTGAAGATTGAATTTTACTTTGAACTATCACCTTCAGCACCACTCGTCTAACTTTCTCATTCACTAGGCAACCTAGTTAGCTATCCGCCCAGCTAGCGGAAGCAGAGTATCGATTTAACTTGCTTGGATGCGCGCCATTAACCAAATATCCTCATGAATATGCACTTTTAATTGATTGGGTACAGCTCCTACAAGTGTTTTCAATGAATAAGATCACTTTGCAGACGGGTTGCTCTGTTTCTACGAATATTTCGTCATACTTTCAAACATCATTTTCATGAAATAATAGCCTTGTCCCTTGTTTGAATCTGTTTACATTTTCTTTGGATCAACCGATGCGCTCTTCTACAAAGTAACTCGAATTGAACAGTACTGGTCGTGGGAGTTTCTTCACACCTCAGCAGTAGCCTATCTATTAATGGTGCCGCAGTCGTAAACTGCTTCACAAACTGCACATTTAAATGCATCTGCTATACTCACTCATGAACGCGCTTTGAAATGATGCAAATACCCAACAGGGCTAGAAATTGTGAGCACTGTTACGAACGCAACAGCACCTACAACATCCGAAAGAACTATCCACAAATGTTACATATACATGGTGAACATTTTGAGCACTTGTGTCAAGTACACCGAATTCTCAAGATTGGCAATCATACATGTATATGTATATGAATATATTTGTATACATATGTATATATAAATAGAGTAGGTGAGAAGCAGGACCGATGTCTTGCTCGCATTAGCCCGCAAATGGAGTAGAACTGAATATGTTTGCATTTTTGAATACTTGTTCTATAATAAATCAGTCATAGTAATAGGTGGAGCATCAATTGAGTTACAGAAGTATATAAGATAGAAGCTAGGTCACCTGAGCCAGATGATTTAATTTGTGGGCGAGTGATCCCAGAAAGACAACGCATCATGCAGTCCACAAAAGTATGAAACATAACGTATAACGCATGTAATATGATAAGATTACGGATTCGAACTAGGAAGACCACCACCGCTTTATAAGTAAAATTTGAAAATATGACTCAATCTAGGTAGAAACCGAACATCTTGTTTTGCAGATTCATTGCGGACTTCAATGGATACACTTGTATATAGGAGCTGTACCCGCTCGAGTAGAAGGGCAAATTTCTGAAAGTGTCTGGTTGATGACGCACATCGAAGCAAGTTCAACTCTGTCTCGGCCGGATGGCTAACTGGGTTTCATAGTGAAGAGAAGGGTAGTGCAGCTGTGCCGAAAGTGTTAACCCAAAGTGTAAATTGCGAACCGAACTCTATGTCACTGAGGAGCTTTTTTAGAATGATTACAGCTATGTAAATTTCCAGAAGTTCATTTCACATGAAAAAAGAAATTCTGTTACCTGCGCTTCGGTATGATATCGGAACCTATAGTACAAAGTCAGAGATTCAGGCAAGTTACTAACTTCTACCACAAGTGATTGTTTGCAAGGAAATTAGTGTTTAGACTCTCGGTGAAGTGAGCCACTTGTTTATGATTATCAAACATAATCCTAACCTGAAAATGCTAGAAATTGTATTCTATTTGTGAAAATATGTCGCATATCAGATTTTGGACGATGTAATACTTTTCCTTTTATACTTAAGCATACGAGTGGCGAATTTCCCAGAAGTGCTACTTCTAGAGTATTCTTATTCATATTATAATTGCTTTTGACTGGGACTAGGAGTTAACTGGTTTTCGTTATTTTTTACCTTGAAAGGCCGCTATCATATGAAATCGCCGTGTCGGCGAGTTCATCCATTTTGGAAAAAAGTCGGTATCAAAATAACAAGTACAACCCGAGGAATGCGACAGTCCACTTCTCGTTGAAAGTTTGAATATATTAGCTACTCCGCATTTTACTGAGCACTTTTGGTGAGAGCGAGTGCCTTCTAGTTAAAATTATAGCAAGCGTCTCTGCTAATGACATGCCATCAAGAAGTTTTTCGAATTTTGTTCAGCTACTTTGTTGGGCCAGACGAACTACAGTGCGTCGCAAAATGATACAGCCACCTCTAATTTTCCCAAAAATTCACAGTATATGATGTTTCTGAAAGACTGCCAAAGTAAAAAATGTGTCAAATCTGAATTGCAATTCGCACATTAT